GCATTAGGGCAACTGCCGCACCTGGAGGTGGCCACATTTGATGGTGTAAGGTGAACCAGGAAGGGAAAACTAAGAAATGGGGAGCCTTTTCAGGAAAGGTGTTCATTAGGAAGTTTATGGTCAGATTTGGGATCTCTTCTGAAGCAAGTTCCTTTTCCTGTTTAATAGGAAGCCGGGTTCTTCTAATGATCTATGGGTGCAGGGCATGTGAGTGGCCACAAAGCTTCAGAACCTGACAGAAGATATCTTCTGCCTTATAACCTCAGACAGAAATACAACTRAAGAGTGCCTGGCCTGGGCCTCTTGGCAGCAGTTGCTGCTGGGTCTCAGTTCTCTCTGTCACCAGCACGAGCACAGGCCCGACCACAGGATAGATTTGTTGATTCATTTTTTCGTTCAGCTGGTATTGACTGCACACCTCCATATGCCAGTCACTCCTCTAAGCACTGGAGACACACAGGGAACAAGGAGATGAGTCTCCTCAGCTCATCAGAGCTTATAGTCTAGGTAGGGGAGACAGACAACATTATAATAAATAAGAAGATTGCGGAGAGTGGTGCAAGCTGTGAAGAACAGCCAAGCTGGAGTGACCTGAGGCTCCTTGTGAGGAGGGGACGTTGGAGTTAAGACTCAGATGCCCAGTGGGTGCTCAGAGAATGTTTGTGGATGGCGATTGGGGCAAGTCAGAATGAAAGGCTTATTCAGTGCCACCTTCAGAGCATTTATTCGGCATCTATTGTAAACTGGGTCCTGGGAGAGAAAAATATTATATAAGGAGATATTGAAAATTTGTAATATAATGGAAGCATGAGACCAAAGAGAGTGAATGGCTATGTTTGGGTGGTTGGCAGTGTGAAGGGCCTTCCATCTCTCTTGGAATACCAGATGATCTTGCCTGTTAGGGAGCACACTGGATCCTCSTGCACTTTTTAGAATGATCTTTTTATTTTAGAGCAAATTACATACTTTTGTGAATACAGTACAGCATTCCCGCTATGCCCCACACCCAGTTTCCCCTATATTAGCATCTTACATTATATAGTACATTTGTCATATTTCATGAATATGACACTTATTGTTGACATTAAAATTGATGAACAGACATTAACTAAAGCCCACAGTGCACCCCCATCTCCTTAGTCTTTCCCTCGTGTCCATTTTCTGTTTCAGGACACATTACATTTAGCTTTGTCTCTTTGGGCTCCTCTTCGGTGGTATGACAGTTTCTCRTTTTCTCTGTCTGATAGTTTTGAAGCGTACTGGTCAGGTATTTTGCAGAACGTTCCTTGGCTGGAATTGTCTGATGTTCTCCTATTCGTAGACTGGGGCTGTGGAGTTTGAGGAAGAAGACCACAAAAGCACAATGCCATTTTCATCCAAAGGTATCAAGGGTGCAAAATATCATTATGACTTACTGATGTTGATGTTGACCTTGAACACCTGCCTGAGGTCAAGTTTTTCCTCTGTGAAGTTACGCTTTCTTCCCCCTTCCTTTCCATATTGTCCTCTTTTTTGGAAGGAGGTCACTATGTAGTCACACTTACGAAGAAGAGGGGAGTTTCCTTCAACTCTTGAGGGCAGAATATGTACGTAAATTATTTAGGATTTTTTTTTTGCACAGGAAATTTGTTTATTCTGATTTTAATGAATCTTTACCAACATATTTATGCTAGGATTTTTACTTTTTTAGAAGTTAAAGAATATGTCAGCATTTTTAGGAACTTAAAAATATTTTATTTCAGTTAACAAAACACATAAAATTACATTGAATTGGAGAATAGGGGAAGAATCAATCATTATTTAAAATTTTTCTGTCATCAACACACAACAGATAATGAAAAGGATTTGGGAAATACCAAAAGCCAGAAATAAGAACCACTCTAGTCCCACAGCTCAGAGTTAACCATTTCARTTTATTATCTTTAATTTTTCTTCTGTGCACAATTTTTACATGAAACATACTGCCTATGTTTGGTTGTTGTTGTTTGCTTCTTGCCTCGTCTCAATTATTTTTGGCTTATTATCTCATCAAAAACATTTCCCCCATGTTGCTATACAGATTTTATAACTGTCATTTTCAGTAGTTGCTAAGTGTCCCTTCACCTGACTTTTCATGAATGTCTCCTGCTTCCTCCCAAGCTAGCATGATTCCTGCCCTGTAGTTGCTATTTAGAATTAATTGGTTAAACAAGTGAAGATACAACAAAGTAATCATTCCCTATTTTTTTTTTAGAAATGTGTGTCATTTTCATTCTCTTGATTCTAAATAGTTCTAAGACAAATAGATTATTCCCTTAAGATAGTGTCCCAGACTGGGAATATGAGGTCAACAAGAGCCAAAAACTTCTACAGATAAATGCACCAAACCAGAAATCTTCCTCCCCTTCCATCTGTGCCACTGGCAATAGTGCCAAAGGTAATRATTTACAATTGATTAAAGAGTTTGCGAGGTATTTTTCCCCCGTCTTTTTTCTCCCTCCCTTCTCCTCCCCTCCTGCAAAAAAGGGGGAAATTATCTGAGAAGGTGAAGATGTTCTCAGACAATCATATTAACATATTCCAACAATCGCAATTTGCAAAATAGTAATCACAACTCCCGGGATCTGGGAGGCATTAATCAAAGCTACAGGTTTAATTCCATTTTAAATATTGATGAAATGTGCCTCAGCAGCCTCACCCTGGCGTGGCRGGGCCAGGGGAGCCGCGGAGGGGTAGGGGAGGTGGAGGAGGGTGGGTGAGCAGCTGCCAGAGGGGAGGCATCTGTGATTCAAATTGGTGGCTGTGCAGCCAGGTAGAGAGTGAAAGGGGTAGTGAAGAGGGCTGTTAAGTCCATTGCTGTCAATTTGTAACGATCAGGGAGGGGCCTGAGGACTGGTTCAGCACAATAAACCCAGTTTGTCTGGTTTCAGGGGTTACCGCTGAAGAGGCTGCAGCTGCACTGATTCCAATAGCCTGGAGACTTCAGAACTGTAATTATCAACCAGGCTGCTCACAGTGTGGCAAAAGTGGGCTCCACCAGCGCTTAACTCCTTGTGTGCTGACACATCGCGGCCCATCTCCCCACCCCTGGGCTTGCCAGCCTGAACTGGGACTGCCAGGCAGCAGGCCCAGGGGAAACTAAGGCCCACTGGCTACTTAGGACAGTTTTCAAAAGCCAGTGTGTACTAGCCAGCAAGCCTCTTTCCTTAAATCATAGGTAAAGAAATGTGTGTGTTATATGGGGGGAGCCTCSGTCCTGGCATCCCCACATCTGCTCTGGGTGGAGGTTAGGCTGCAAAGCCTGATAAAGAGTTGCTCAAATTGCATGGGCCAGGGACCTAGAACCAGGCTCATCCCCTTTGTAACATGGAAGCACTCTCCCCTCCGCGGTGGAGATCCAATGAGATGCGGTGCTAAAATAGCACACAGTAGGCTGTCCATGGGCCTCCATCTCTCAGCCCTGGCCCTGGGGCTTTTTACAGGAGAAGAAGGCGTCCCTGGGCAGGGGGAATCTGATTCAGAGGGCAGGTTTTTGATGGCTTCTGCATCTCAGCTTTCAGGAAGACCCCTGGTTACTGAGCTTCTACCATTCATCACCCATCTCAGGTGGAAGGCTCTGAGCTAGGTACAGAGAAGGCCAGAACTCCTCCATGCTATAGCCCARAGAAGAACCAGAGGACAAGGAGCAGAGAAGAAAGGGAGGAAGGAAGGAAATAGTGTGGTGAGAGAAGGGCACAGGCTCAGTTGGAAACACTGGTGAACAAAATCTGTGCAGGATTGATGGCCCTTCTTTTGGGATGTAGCCCCAGGGAAATTCTCCCACAGATCCCTGAATGCTTGTCCCAGTGCTGTTCCTGGTAGCAGGGAATTGGAGGCAACCTCCATCTTCGATACTGGGAGGATGGAGAGTAAAACGTGAGGGGGCCAACCCCATGCAACATGAGGCAGCCAAGAAGCAAAGAACTAGACTCCATGTGGCAACAAAAAGAGGTCCTAAAAATGTACCATGGGGTGAAAGAAGTTCGGCACAATGAAATTCACAGCACAATGCCATTTTCGTAAATTAAAAACACATTCAGACACAAAACAAAGTACATACTTTATATAGCTACATGCATTTTTAGGGATCTATATCCCACCATTAGCATGGGCCCCTGTTGTGGTGAGGGGCTGGGTGTGGTCTGGAGGAGAAAGGGGGAAAATAAAAATACAGAAATTCACAAGGGGTATTGCACAGAGAGGATGATCACGTGCGGTGGGACTGAGGACTGTGACTCATTCAACTCTATGTGAGGTTTTTGTTGTGCAGCACAGKTTTCATAATTAGACAACTCTAGGTTCAGATTATGGGTCCTCCCACACACTAGCCCCAGGCTGTGGGCAAGTGACCTGACCTTGGAGCCTCTGTTCATCTAAAGTGATGGGAAAGACTTGCCTTTCCAGGGAGACCATGAGGAAGCTGAGCCAGATGGCTGGGAATAGCTACAGCTGCCACCACGGCTCCTCTGCATGTCCCTGGCAGACTCCTGAGTCAGGGGGACCCCTGGACCCTCAAACCTCAGGTTCTTTGAAGGGTCATGAAAGGAACGCCCAGAAATGAAACTAGGACCTAAAACTWTGTGCTAGTGCTACCAGCCAGGCCTGGCCCCACCGCTCTGGGTTTGCTATTTGTGATATGTCACACCGGTGAGCACTGGAGAGTGAGGCGGCCACTCTGACTGCCCATCAGGATCAAACCGGCTCAGAGGGGCTGAAGGACCTCAAGCTGCCTCATCAGCAGCATTCACAAACTATAAACCCTTTTGTGTTCAATTTCCCCCAGACCAGGCCTTCTGCMGAGGGATTAGATTTAAATGAAAGGGTTGCTTCTGCCCACACAGAGCTAAACACATGGGCCACCAGCAGACCATCAGCCTGTGTTGGAATGCACTCCAACTCGAAGACCCCACCCGGGGGGCTCCCAGGGCACGCAAGGTCTCGGTGAGGACCAGGCATGACCAGCTCTTCCTCTTTCCCTACAGACGATGATGAGCATGAGTGGATCATCCAGACCTGTCGGAAGGGCTGGGATGAGATCGTGGGTCACAGGCCCAAGCTGTGAGTTCTGCAGCAGCTTCCACCAGAGGCTGCCATCTGTCCCGCTGGCACTGGCTGCCTTCACCCTGGGAGGCTGTAATTCTAGAGCCTCAATTTTGACTGAGGAATAAAAGCTTTCTGCACTCAGTGGCTCCAAGTGTATTTGCCTTCGAAGACGTTCTCAGAACACATCCTCATTTCACCTGCATCAGAAGCACCTGGGAAAAATCATGAACTATAGCTATTCCCAGGCCTCAGCCTAGACTTACTAATCAGAATCTTTGGGAATGGAACCTAGTAATTTGCATTCTCAGGTAGTTCTTATGCATATGAAAGTTTGAGAACCATTGTCATACAATAACAGATATATGTGACTGAATGAGCCCCTCGTGGGCCAAGGCAGCATGTGGGCATCTTCCCGGCTCCTAACAGCAGCCTTCAAAGGAGGGGTAAGCATAACCTTTTGCAATGGGGCATCTGAGGTTCATAGAGAGTGACTGACTCTCTTGGTTTCAGAGGACAGTAGGACCTGATTATTGTGACCAGCTCACAGCTGGCACCTCCCCGAATAACTCCCCACTTATGTTTTTACTCTTTACGGGGCCATCATTTGAGCCTCAGGCAGGAGGAGGTGCAGAATCAGCTTGATGCCATAGGAAGAATGTGGCTTTGCCATCATCCATTTCTGGGTTCAAATCCCAGCTCAACCACAGTATTACGTAACCTTGGGCAAGTCACTTCTCTAACTTCAGTTTCCTTATCTATAAAATGGTTATAATGATATTTAAAACAACAGAGTAGCTGAGAATGAGTCAAATGAGATAGTACATGAAAAGGAGCTGGTGCTTAGCAGGTGCTCAATATGTGTTTGTTTTAAACACATGATGCAGTTTGTTAGCGGCACATATAATCAGTCTTCAGAATCACCTCAGAGCTCACATTTGTCAACTGAAAAACAGAAGTGGAAGCAGCAACATGTCTCAGGGCCACTTGTGGACCCCAAGCAACCTGGATCTTTGCACAACCGTCCCTCTTGGGAGGTTGCTGGATCCTGTGGCCTCCTGGATCCTGTGGCCTCCTGGGTCATGTCCCCTGTCTCACCAGAACTTTCTGGTAGAAACTGGTAAAAACTGGGAGGGCTCTGCAGGGAAAGGAAACGGGACCTGCAATGAGCAACCCAGAGCTGTCATGCAGGTACAGCCAACAGCCAGAGGAAGGCCTGGGTCCACTCTCAGCTGCACCATGGAGGAACCTAGGRGAATAACCTCACCCCTCTCAGACTCCAGTCACTTTGACAGAATGATAGGGTTGAGCTCCACGGCTGATAACAAACTGAGTTTTGAAAACAGAAGTTACATTCATAGGGTTGGGGATGTGGCTCAAGCGGTAGCGCGCTCGTCTGGCATGAGCACAGCCCTGGGTTCGAACCTCAGCACCACGTACAAATAAAGATTTTGTGTCCGCCGGGAAAAAAAAAAAAAACTATAAAATAAATTTTAAAATTCCCTCTTTTTTTTTAAAAAAAAAAGTTACATTCATATAAACACACATGCCTAATATATTATCAAAGATAAACATATATCTAAACATTTGAAAAATGGATTAAGAGAGTAGAGTGGGGAGGCACATGAATGGGGGTAAGAAATAGGACACAGTTCAAATGCCTCCCCTTGTCCCGCAGAGCATACTGGAGTGATGTCTGTTTACATCATTGGCCAGATTGAGAGCTCCTCTAGGCAGGGTGGGGCTGGGACCCTTCTCTGAGTCTGCAGAGACAGCACAGGGCCCAGCAGAGAGCTGGTGTTCAGGGAGCACAATGCAGACAACAGCCAGCCTGATCTGCTACTCACTAAGACATAGGGATGATGCAATATTTAGAGAGAAAAAAAAATCACCCTTCTTCGTGCCTTTGCAATGCACAATTTACCAACTGGGAAATGGTACCAACTTTTTAGCTTTGCACTGTCCAGCAGCCCAGAAATTCTGGGAGCCAGGGACCCAAGCCCTTAGCCAGAGAGTAGGAAAGAAATGAAATCCCATCATGTTCTGGATTTAAGTGCCAGCACTTCTACTTGCGTTAACTTTATTTATTACACAAATAAGACATTTACAAAGCACAACATGAAAGATATGTAACAAAACAGACATTGGTTTTACAAAAAAAGTGCTTACAATTTTTATTCCATGTGTGTATTTCCCCTTTTGTTTTGTATTTAATAAATAGTCTTGTCCGCCTGTGTGTTTCCAGGCTGCTCTTAACAGGGTAGTGGAGACGTTTGAACTGCAACATGCTACTGTCATGTAGTCCACGCAARGAACAGACCCTGGGGAGAGACTCAAGACAGAGAGGATCCTGGGTGACCCTGGGCAAGGCTCAGTTGGCTGCTTACCACATGGTTGTGATTGGGGCTTTGATCATTAGGAGCAAAAATCAAAGGAAAGATCTGAGCTCCTCAAGGCCAGGGATCAGGCCCAGGTCACTCCTGTTAGTTCAGTGCCCAGACAGAGGCAGCACAAGTTTTCACTGGATGACTTCTGAACTGAGCCATATTCACCACATTCTGAGTGGTGCTTTCTCTTTGACCTTAGTTAGCTGTAACATCTTTGGAAGGGACAGAATGCAGGTTCCCTTCTTGGGCCTCACCCATGCCTAGGCCTCCTCCAGAGAAAATGGCATGTAAGTTCTCATTAAGTGCCAACTTCAAGCATGTGAATCCTGAAACCTTATCCAGACTCAGAGAGAGTGCTGCAATCGATTAGTGATGTCTGCTATGGGTGAAGACAGGTACCACAGCTGCGTATAACTATAAACTTGCTTTCCCTGTCCTGGAGTCTCCTTCCAAAAGCAGGCAGGAGGACTGGGGCTAAAGCATGCTTACTAGCAGCCTCTAGTGGGAAATGCACTAGGTCTCCAAGTAGTTCTAGAATTATAGGATAAGCTTGGGGCAAATGGGCATCCCCTGAAAACATAAATATCATGGTCCTGTTTGCCCAAGCCCTTGGTTTCAGGTGGAAGTGTTGCAGCAGGATGGGGTGGATGAGACCACAGCTGTGTCTAGCCTTGTTCTCAGGAGCGGGTGGGGCTGGCTCCAGGCAGGGTTGGCAGGGAAGCCCAGAGGTACTAGCTTGGCAAACTCACCTAGGCAGTGGGCACCTCTCTACTCAGAGATGGATCAGAGTTTACATTCTGGCTGTCATTTCACTGGGCTCTGTTCCTTGGCCCCCAAGAGTGGTCCCCTAGCCCAGGCACCCCTATCAGTAGTGAACCAGCAGCCAAAAAGCATCCCCAACTCTAGCCTGCCCAAACACTCAGCAGCAGCATCACACAGATCAAATACCATCTTTGCTACGTCTCCTGAACTTACGTTAGATACTCAGGTGGGAGTAGGGTTTCCCCTCCGTCCCAAGTGTTCGCTTTCCCCTCCTTGAGATGGTTAGTGCCTCTCCCAGTGCAGTGTGCCACATCCCTCTCCTCGATCTCCAACCAATGGGGGCCTTTGTCCCCCATCCCCCGCCTGTCCCTCTGCCTCTTGGTCTGGGCAGGCCTCCATCTCTGCCCTACTGGGCCTCTCAGGGTTGGTCAGTGTCTCTTCTCTTTCTGAATTAACTTGACATAACCAGACAGATGGAAATGATAAAATTAGAACATAGCTTTCCTTTGGGGACATCCCACAAACACTGTAGAGTTTTCCAGACAAAAGCAACAGAGTGGATGACATTGGGGGTTGTCGGCTATTCGGAATTCAGAGATGGTTCCAAGGAAGTAGTAAATAAAGGCCAATGGGGGTGGGAGGGCGGGGAAGAAAACCTGTAAATTAGGAGGCTGTTGGTGTCGCATGATTCAATTTGTCTTTTGCTGTTGTAATCAGCTGAAGTTGAAGATGACTCCTGTTTAAATGGGAAAAACAGGCTGTTGTTTTCACCCTGATTCCAAATTTCAGGGAGCTCTGCCTTCCAAGAGGAGGACTCTGTGATGCTCCTGGCCAGTTCTGGTTCTCAGCAGGAGAGGGAAGGCCAGGCCTGGGGGCCCAGCTGGCGGCGGGCAGAATGGCGGGTGGGGGTGGATGCGGAGGCGGTGGATCCCTGGCCACAGTTTGGACACTGGATCTCAGCGGCTGAGGGGCAGCTGTGGGGTGCCCATGGACAGATGCGGAAGTGCCGACAGCGTTAGTACTGAAAAAGGATGACCTGCAAGAGGAGGGCATGGGAGGTGGCTGAGTTAGGAGCCTGCCCCACTTGGCAGCCCCCAGGGATCCTCAAAGTCATGCGGCGTAAGGAAGGGCTCAGGGCCTAGACTGGGATTTAAATCTTGACTCTGGCAGCTTACTTGCTGTGGGACTTTGGACAACTCACTTCCCCTCTCTGAGCCTATTTCCTCATCTGTAAACAGGGATAMCAAAACYTCTCAGAACAGGGAGGATTCAATGAGATACAACAGCAGAAGCAAAAACCTACTGGGCACTTTACCCTGCTCCCTCCATAAATTGCTTCAATGAAGCTGCACCTCAAGCCCATAAGGAAGTCCTACTGTGATGGTCTCTATTTTACAGGGAGGGCACCAAGGCTGAAAGAAGTGGCAGTTAGTGAGTCCATGATCACAGCTAGGAAGAGATACACCAACACTGGAATCCAGGCAGGCTCTCTACTAAACCACCCATCTCTACCTCTCCAACACCACCATGACAACAGCTGCCCACAGCGCACAATCTACCAAGCCAAGGGCTAAGCACCCAGTGTGCACCGGATCTGCACAAAGCCAAGGCATGTGGCTAAGCCAGCCAGAGGCTGATGCACAGCGAGTGGGTGGGCCTCTGCTCCTTTCTCTTTCCCTCTTCCACTTAGAGCCACCTGGCTGACATCTTACTGCCACCCACACAACCAATCCCCTGAAGTTCAGGTCAAGGATTACTGGCTGGCTGGTCAAAATGGGGTGTCCCTTTTCACAGGAAAATAGGAGGAGGAGGTTTCAAGTGGCCCAGAGTCTGCCAGTGAGCACCGTCACATCGCTGATACATTTTCTGATCAGGATGTTTCTTGCCCAGAATCAGCTACCAGAGGAGGTGGAGGAGGAAAGCAAAGATGTTGATCTCCATAGTATCATGGTAGTCCCCTCCCCCTTACCTACAGTTTCAGTTATCTGCAGTCAACCACAGTCCAAGAATATTACTATTGGTCTTGACTCTTTCAAAAGAGAGGGATCACACTCATATAACTATTATTAGAGTACATTATGATTGTTCTATTTTATTATTATTGTTGTTAATTTCTTAATATGCCTAATTTATAAATCAACCTTTATCAGAGGTATGTATGTATAGGGAAAATATACTATTATATAAGGTTCAATACTATCCAGGGTTTCAGGCCCCCACTGGGGGTCTTGGAACATAGCCCTACAGATACCAGTAGACTACTGCAATCATAATGACGACCAGTACCCAAGGAGTGCTTTCTGCCTATGGGACACTGTGCTAAGCTCTTTACACAAGTCATTGCATTTAGTCTCCACAGCAACCCCGGGTGGTGGGAACCATTATTGTCCCCATTTTATAAATGCAGAGACTGAAACTCTGAGAAGCTAATTGTGTCTCCAGGTCTCAGAGGGAGAAGGTGGYAGATCTGGGCTCAGGGTGGCTGGGCTCCAAAGCTCACACTGCATTCTTCACCCAGCCTTGTGCCTTATTTTCACTGGATCTGCAGGACACCTGGCTTTAAGCTCTTATTAAAAGGAGCACCCCCCMMMAAAAAAAATTACCCTAGTCAAACCTGTCCCCTACARGAGCCTCAGACTCTCAATAACCTAATATTTGAATAATAACCTCTTGGTCCTGATTTCTAAGAACCTTCCAAGTGCTGAAGTTGTGGGATCAGGGTACACAACCAGGAAGAAATGTGGTTCTGGAAACGCACAGGYGTATGTGGCCAAATGATGACGCAGTGGACAGGAAGCTCCTCCCACCCTGAGAATGTTGGGGTCATTGTTCTCCTGGCCAAACCAGCCCTGATCCAGATGAGTGGGCTCAAGGACCAGACCCAGGGGSATACACTCTCCTCACAGCTAGGCTGGCTCGGGCCCGGAGGGACTTGGGAGACAGCCCATACAGTCCTGTGCTGCCTGCTCAGCCCAAGCCCTGTGACCCACCAAGCCCCACAGGTTTGACAATATGTGGATGGAAAATCCCTGGGAGTTGAGGGAAGTTCTGACAGTGAGAGGGCAGTGGGTCACAAAGGAGGGAGACACACTTTAATGCAGAGCATCTGGATACAAATCCTGGGACACAGCCCAGCAAGGGTGAATTCTGGCTCACTAGACAAACCCAGGGGCCAGAATCCTAGAGCCAAAGCTGCCAATGCCCAGCCTGGCTCGTCTTTCAGGCTGAACCAGACATAACCACAAGCTTAGCTGAGCAACCAGGAGACAGGGCTCCTCTCCAAGCACTGAGCCCAGCCCTATACACTTCCAAGGCCCAACCCTTCCCTCTATATAATGCCTAGGGTACCAGGCCTTTCAGTATGTAGGCCTGGCTGCTCCCCCACTTCCCTGGGCCTCCACCCTACTAAACACCCCATAATCCCCTCAAAGCCAGGCTTCTCCTTGCTTCTATGCATCAGCACTTGCTGTTCTCCCAACATGGAAGGCCCTTCTCCTCATACCCTCCTTCTCCCCTAAAGTTGTCACTCCCTCTTCTGGGTCCTCCAAGGCCATGGCTGCCCCCACTCCAACTACCCCATTGCCTTATGGTACCACTGTCCATGTCCTACTCTAAGTCACAAGTTTCTTGTGGGTGGGGATCAGGTCAGATCTCTTCTTCAAAGACAGTGCCAGTCTGGTAGGACCAATGATCTCCCACAAGAAAGAGGCATGTGTGAGGCAGGTGGTCCTTAGATCGAGGCCTGCTGTGTTCACATTCAGTGTGACCCTGGATGAGCTACTTCTCTGAGCCTCCGTTTCTAGAGGTGACATGGAGTTCCATCATAGCCATCCTCCCAGGGAGGCTGTAAAGGATACTGTCAGAGACAGTCCTGTAGAAATGTGAAGTGGTACAAGAAAGGAAGAATCTACTGAGCTTCATAGACTTCAGAGTCCAGCAAACTTGCTGCACCCCTCGACAAATCACCTCATCTCTCTGAACCTCAGTCTCTTTATTTCTACAATGAGAAAGGCCATCTCCATGCCCACAAAGAAGCTGGGAGGTGTCAACCAGAAGATGTGTGTAAAGAGCTCAACAAATAGCAGTTCTTACTGTGAATGTGACAGTCTCAGAAGGGACCTTCCTGCGGTGTGCTCCCCGACCACCTGATTCTTGTGTTGAACACCACCACCTACTTGGAAACATATCTGTGCAACTAGGCTGTTTGCACCTCCATACTATAGATATTCTCTCACAGTGCCAATCACAGAGAGCCCAATACACAGTAGGTGCTCAATCAGGAGGCACAGCCAGAGGAAATAYGCTGGAGAAGTGTTCTGCACCTGGAGCTGCCCATCAGAATCACAGGGGCTGAGCATCACAAATGCAGGTCAATGTACCCCATTCCAGTCTTGCCATCAGACTCTGGCTTGGGAATCTGTTTTTCCAAGCTGCCCCGGTGATTCCAAGACACATTAAGACTGGGATCCACAGGACTGGAGGGCTCCTAATGGACCTTCCACCTCTAAAGCATGGTCTCTGTCTCCCTGGACCACTGTACCATCTGACTTGAGGTGGCTCCATGCCTCCCACGGCACATCTTCCCAGCCGACCTCTCTGAGGACCATCACAGTGCTGTCTCTGCAAGGCCTTCCAAGGTCCCCCACTGCCCCGGGATAAAGTCCAAGTCCTCTGCCTGTCAGCCCCATGGTCCCATTTCTCACCACTTTTCCTCCCAAGCCTGTCCCACTGACATGGAATGGTTCAGGATTCCCTAAGAGCTGGGATGGCTGTCTTTGATGAGCCCTGATCCAGTGTCAGGCCTGCGTTTTGGGGCTGCCTTCCTCCAGGAAGTCTTCCCTCCATCTCTCCCTGCCCCCACTCTTCCCCCATCCCACGGCTCCCCATCACAGTGTGATCAGCCGGGTTGCCAATGTTGGAGTCTGTCCCCCCTCCAGATGTGGCCTCCTGGAGCAGCAGCCATGCTTTACTTATCTGTGAGTAATGAGTAAGTGAATGAATAAACGCACAGGTTCTCATCCAGGCTCTGACCTTCAGCTTCTTGGCCTCGATTTCCCTCTTCTAAAAGGAGAGGCTGTCTCAGCGCAATGGCTTTTAAGGCTAGCTCTGGGATGCCTCAGAGCTGAGAGGGAGGTGAGGCTCCTACCCGCTCCATGGTTGCACTCAGAGCAGCTCCGTCTAAATTCATCTGTGATACTGATGAGACCAAACAAAGGGTTCCAATGCTTAAAAAGCAAAGCCTTCCAGCTGCTGGACTGGGTAATACCTAAGCATCTTCTAGACATTCATTCCCAATGCCTCAAACAACCAGAGATCTGGTTCCACAGAGGAGCCCTGCCAGTTGGCCAGCTGTCTCTTTGCCCCACCAGAAGCCCTCCCTGCAAAAGCCTCAAAGCTTGAGTAAATTCTCCAGTGTGACAAAAGAGAAGCCACCCTGCCAGTGAGAGGACGGGGCAAAGGAGGCCTGTGGAGTGGGCGCATGTGGAACATGCCAGCAGCTGCTCAGATGCCTCTCATGGGCACAGAGTGGGCCAGAGCTGGCTGGGAAGAGATGGTCTGCCACACAGAAGCAGGCTGCCCACTCAAGGACGGGAAATACTGCCAGAAACTCAGCCCCACAGGAAGGCTCYGATCCAGCAGACCAACCTGGCTCCATTTACCTTCTCACCCCGGCTGGAGAGCGGCCCATCCATATCAGCTTTGAGGTGGACGGGAGGCGCGGTGTAAGGCAGCCGACAGTGCACCTGCCCGCACTGTACCTGACCTGTGGACGAGAGGTTGCCTTGGAGCCCATCCCTCAGGCTCCACACGGGATCCCACCTGCCCTGTGCTCTGCAAGCTGGAGCCCCAAGACCAGTTCCATCCCTGCCACTTAACACCTGCATGAGATTTCAATAGGGTGGGTGACAACACTGCACAGGAAGGACTTTATAAAGTGCCACAGTTGCTAGGGATAACCATCCAGTTCATTGATAAATGGGCACTCGTGCAAGCAAGGTTGTGCTCTACGGGTTCAGATCCTCCTTGTACACTTCTGTCTCCCAATTGGGTTTCATCAACCTAATACCAATAGCCACTCCTCCCCTTCCCTCCCCATCCTCCTTTCCAGCTTGGTTTTTCTTCCTTAGCCCTAACCATCTGACTTATGGTGTGTTTTTATTGTTTTTTGCTATCACTGGTCTTTGCCAACTAGAATACAAGCTCTATGAGGGCAGAAAGTTTTTAATCTGTTTTCTAGTTTCTGGATTTTTGTAAATTTCCAACACCAAGGATGAGGCATGATATCTAGTAAGTACTTTAAAAATATTTGTTGAATGAGACTCCATACCCTATTCCAACATCTAAAACTGTTGGGGAAAGTCCACCTGTGTGTCTGATCCAAACCTTTCATGTTTCATCCTGTTTACCACTATAATAGAGAAGTCCTTTGCCTATCTCCTCTCTAGACTTCATCCTCTTTGATCATAGAAAAAGACCTGTGCAGAAACTGACAATCAATATGTAACTTGGGACAAGTCACTGTGTCTTTCTGAGCCACAGATCTCTCATCTGTAGAATAAAGCAATTGTATTAAATTGAGGGTTCTTAACTCCCTGGGTGTTCAGGGAATCCATGAACAACCTCAAATTACTCAAATAACCATGTGTATCTGTGCATTTTTCTGGGGTCTGGTTCCAAAGCTTTTATCACATTCTAAGCTCTAAGACTTCAGGAAACTAAGGATCCTGTGAATTTAATTAACTATAAAGTAAAAGTTCATTTTTTTTTTTCCTGGGCTCTCGTTCTCTTTCTTCAACTTCCCAGCTCTAAGGCTTCAGAATATGCAAGATTCAAGATTTTAACTAACTGCAAAGCAAACTACTGGGGTGACCTTCAGTTCTTGAAGCAAGAGGTAGCAGGCCCAGACACCCCACCGAATTCTGCCCCAAGCTAGGTTCCACCACCAGGGAAAAAGGAAAAGGGTACCTCAGCCCCTTCTCTACGGATCCAAGACAGATCTAGGCATGCTCACTGGGGTGGTGTGGATGGAGTCGTGGCCCACCTTTGAAGAGGGTCACCTAGATCCATCATTACCTCCAATCAATGATGATAGCCTAGGTCCCTGGTACTAGAGAGGCCCTGATCATTGGCACTTTTAACAAGTATTTACTGAGCTCTGTGCAGGCTGAACATAAATTATTGTTTAGAAATAAAARGGGGAAAGTATCCTTCCTGCTAAGCAGATGGTTCAGAAATGGAACAGTGTAAAGAGCCCAGTTTCTCCCCAGCAGCCTGGAGCAGCAGGCAGAACTCTGTACTGCTAGTTTACAAACCAAGCCCATGCTGCCATCACAAGAGTAGATATTGCTTACTGAATGTTGAAGACTTTACATCAGTTACCTTATCCCACATTCACAACACTGCTTTGAGAAAGAAACTCTTATTGTTCTTGTTTTTGCAGATAAGGGAACTGATATTCAGGGAAGCTAAGAAACTTTCCCAATGTCACCCAGTTAGTAAGTGGCAGGGATGGGATTTGAAGCCCAGCAGCCTGACCCCCGACATTTGATCTTTAAAGAGCACTGGCTCCCACGAACTTACAGTGGGCCCTTGGTTTTCTCCACCATTCAATGGGATAGTGATCTCTGATGTTTATGTCTGGCACATGGCAGGGATTGGGTAAAAGCAGTGGTTCTCTCTCTGACCTCCCTTCTTTCTCCCTTTTACTTGAAGCCCGAGAAGGGATGGTGAGTATGTGTGTGCATGTATGCATGTGTGTTTGTTATGATCACTTCTATTTTTTTGGTCATGCTCAGCTTTGAGAAAACCGCCTCAAAGGGAAAGAAAGTCTCCATAAGCAACTGCTCCGAAACAGATTCAATGAATGCTCATGCCTCAGAAATCCAGGAGTTTATTCCCTTATTTCTCCAGGTTCCTGCTCCAAAGTCCCTTCACCATGACCCTTCCCACCTCTCCCCATAGAACTCACTGTCCACACACATGTCTCCCCTCCTTTTTTTTTTTTTTTTCTTTTTTGGTACTGGGGATTGAACTCAGGGGCACTCAACCACTGAGCCACATCCCCAGCCCTAATTTGTATTTTATTTAGAGACAGGGTCTCACTGAGTTGCTTAGTGCCTCACTTTTGCTGAAGCTGACTTTTAACTCATGATCCTCCTGCCTCAGCCTCCCAAGCCACTACTGTAATGCGCCACCCTGCCTGGCCTCCCCTCCTTCTTTTAAGAGTTCAGGGTCTCTTTCCCAATCTCTCATTCTGGAATGTGAGTTCCAGGAGCACAGTGGCTCTGGCCTACTGTGTTCCCAGTGTTCCCAGTGCTATGAACACAGGAGGCACTCAAAATGTATTTACTGAATGCATGAATCGATTTTCATAACTCTMTAAAAGGTATTAATAGCTGGGGATAAAGCTCAGTTGGTAGAGTGCTTGCCTGGAATGCACAAGGCCCTGGGTTCAATCCCTAGCACCAAAAATAAAATAAAATAAAAATAAAAGGCATTAATAATATTCCAGTTTACAGATGAGGAAATCGAAGTTCAAGGAGGTTAAGTGATATGCCCAAGGCCACACTAACCTTCTGCTTTCCCAAATGTACCCACGCCATCTTTGCTCTCTGGGTCAAGGCCTGCCCACATTCAGTTCCCCCAGTCAGTATGCCTCACTGAATCCTTTCCAGAGTTCAAATTGGTGTGTTTCCTCGAGGCGGCCTCCCCACCAGCATCTCCAAACACTCCCACCCAGCACCTTTCCTGTAGAAATCATTCCAGGGAAAATCATGAGCTTAACAATCTGGTTATTGTTCCCCTGTCCAACTGACCAGAATGCTGGCTCCACAGGGCAGGGATCTTGCTCCTCTTACTCTCTCCCTAGTCCCCAGGCCATAGCATTTGGGGAATGGCTAAATTGCTGCCTTTTACCAAGAGAAAGGATTCAGCCCCCCTCTGAAACAGGGCGGGGGGAGTTTACCCGCTCCACGAAGCCCCTAGATTCGAGTGACTTCGAAGCCCACATCTTCCCCCATGAGGCTCTGTAATGCATCCCCACGCCTCCGCCCCCGTCGCTCACGCACACTCCTCAGCCTTGCGCTCCCCGCAGACCCTCCTCCCGCTGTTGCGGTCACTTACTCTCAATGTAGCCGTGCAGGGTGACCATGCGCGCCCGCTCGGGGCTGCTGAACGGAGAGTAGTGGATGTCGTCGGACAGGGCGGAGGGAAGGCGGGACGGGGGCGCCCCAGAGGGCGGCACTGGGTGCTGCGGTGTGTGCTTTTTATGACGCGCCCGGCAGTTTTGAAACCACACCTGGAACGACAGCCTCAGCAGTTTCAGCCTCGCGTTAAGAGGGTCGCACGCGCCGCCAGGGGATGCCCAGGCGGGACTGCCTCCCCACCCCCTGAAGAAGAGCCTCCACGTGCACCGGCGACCCTTGGCACCGCGGCGAGCTTCAGAGCTTGGCCCGGGACCCCCAGGCTCCGCCCCAGACCTGAAGGCCCTGCCCACTCGTGGTCCCACCTGGATGACCCTCCGGCTGAGGCCTGTCATGTCCGCCAGCTTCTGCAGCGTCTGCGCGTCCGGGTTGTTGTCCTGCGCGAACTGTGCCTGCATAACCTGCGGGTCGCGGGAGGGCGGTGAGGCACSGCGCGCGGAGGTCTCCGAGACCCCGGCCCAATCAGAGGCTCCGGACCGGAGGCCACGCCCCAGGCAGCTACAGCCCCTCCCGCCACCCGCGGGTCCAGGCCGAGGGGGTGGAGCCACAAGGCCCTCTCACCCCCGCCCCCGCCGAGGCCCCGCCCCCGTCCCCGGGGCTGTATCTTGCCCSGGTACCTGCAGCTGCTCCGCGGTGAAGGACGTCCGCGCGCGCTTGGCCGGCTTGGGCTGACTGTCCTGTTCCGAGGGCACTGCCCCCTCCAACGTGAGGCCGTTCCCTGGGGGCGACAGAAGCAGCTGACCACGCGTCCCCATCTCTTCTAGTGGCAGCCTGGAAAGGACGGGGGTGGGGGGAGCTTGTCCCTGGAAGGGTCAGGAGCGGAGCTGGCTGGGAGTAGGGATCCCAGGGTCCTAATCCCCRAGCTCAGTGTTTGGGAAAAGGACTTCTGTTTCCATACTGGAGAGTTCTCTTTCAGTGTCCTCTTTACATCATAAGTCCTAAAGAGAGTGGTATTATCCCCATTTTACGCGAGAGGAAACTGAGGTTCAAAGAGAAAAAAGTCCCTGCCCCTAACCTTCCCACTAGAATCTAAAGCTGGCTGATCCTAATGGCCCCAACTGGGCTCCCTCCGAGCGAAACTAGGGGGATCCACAGGTTGGTGGGAACAAGAAACAAGGAACATACAACAAATGGAAGAAAAAAGGTTGGAAGGATGTACACCAAGGTGTCAGCAAGGAGCAACCTCTGGCTAACCTCAGAGAAATGTCATCAAGGAGACTTTTTTACTTTCAATACTTCTGCAACTTCTGAGGTCTTTAAAACTGCTACATGTTATCTCTCTAAAATTCTTAATTTTGCTAACCTGGGTATATGTCTCAAATTAGATTACTTTTAAAACTATGATTGTAAACTACTAAGTTTATTCTGATTTTATTTTAATATTTCATTGTTCTGAATACAAAAGTGTCCTTATCAAAAGTACAGAAAATTCCAATAAACCTCCCACAGGGGAGGGTGGGAATCATCACTAATCCCACCATTCAGAGAGAACCACTGCTCACAATTTATTATAGTTTAATTAGGAAAAAAAACTGTGTTGGAAGAAAAAAACAATAAACAAATACATAGAAATATCTGGAAAGGTAAAGGTGAAAATGTGAGAGGAAATGGCATTTGGAGTGATCTTTATTTTCTTTTTGCTTAACCATCTTTTCTAATATTCTTATGATGAACATGTGTAGTGTGTGTGTGTGCGCGCGCATGTGTTTAGAAAGCAAAAGAGTAACCAATATCAGGAGCTGTGGCTATGGCTCAGTGGTAGCCCATTTGCCTGGTATGTGTGAGGCACTGGGTTCGATTCTCAGCACCACTTATAAATAAATAAAAATAAAGATCTATCAAAACTAAAGAATGTTTAAAAAAAAAAAAAAGTAACCAACATCAAAGGCTGATCTGAAGCCCCATGCCTTCAAGTTCCCTTTATGATTAGAGCTTAGGTGTAACTGGCAAGACCATGACTAAAGGTGGTCCTGGTTGGTCCAGCTACAGAAGGAGCCTGTGGTTACTGATGGACCATGGTGTGCAGGAAACTCTGGATCCTGGGTTTCCATCTCAGTTCCATTGCTGACTTGCCCACAACTTCAGATAACTTAAGAGCAACCCATTTAGCTCTGAAATTGGTCAAGTATACTCTTGTGGTCCCTGACTAGTTTTCAGGCTGAAGTCTAGAAACTGAGGAAGGGTGATCCATACCACTCCCCAGAGGGACTGGGAGTGAGGCAGACATTTTTGGGATATTATTGTCCCATAGGGAGGCAGGCAGGACAAGGATTAGTGTGCCTTCTTTTTTAAATGGAAAAAAAAAATGAAACTCTTTAGAGGCAGCCACATCCCTGCAGCCTCCTGGGGTTCCGAGGTCCAATTAAGGGGCCCTGGAACACAGGGATGAGGTGGTATGGCATGGTGTGACATGCTGTGTTATGGTAGTTAAGAGTCTGGGCTAGGCAGACCCACTGGTATGTTAACTTAGATGTTACATACTACAGATAACCTCCACCTTTTCGCTCATCTGTACAATGGGGATACACCATAAACATCCTAAGACTATTGTAAAGATTACTTAAAATAACCCATGCTGTGGAGAAGTTATCAGCATCTATGGACCCTGACAGAGGAATCATGGACAGCCCTGCCTGTACTCCCTTTTACCAGTCCCCACTCCACCTAGATCCCTGGAAGGCTGTCCGTATATGGGACCTGTATGGGTCTATGTATCTTGGGAAATCAGAGAAGATGTTGTGATCATTCTAATCCAACATCCATCTTGCACAGATGGGGTAGGGGGACTGAGGGACAGAGAGGAAAGAAAATTTCTTGTTGTCGCAGTATTAGGAGCTTAATCTCCATCTCAGGAATGGGGCCTTTTCTCCTAATAGTCAGAGCCCTTGTCCGGGATGAAACCCCTACCCTCAAGCCTCAGCTTGGTACTACCAGGATGGGAATTGGGAGAAGAGAGGCTACAACAAACATCTTTCTAGGGGATGGAGATGTAGCTCAGTTGTAGAGCACCTGCCTAGCATGTGCAAGTCTCTGGGTTCAATCCCCAGAACCTTCAAAATAATAGTAATAAATCTCTACAGGACTGGCCTAGGCAACTGGGGTAAGGAGCCCCCAAGCGCCTTCCAAGGGTGGAGTAGCCTGCCTCAATGAATGAATAGAGCCCACTCCACCCTCCCATTCATTGAGTGCCTCCAGGTTTTACAACACTTCAGCTCATCAGCCTTTGAAAAGGTCTCCTGCTATTAACCCCATCTCACAGATAAGTCAGCACAGTTGCAGTAAGGTAGTGACTGATTCCCAAGCTAACCGTGGAGGAGCCCCACCTCCACCAGCCTCCAAGTGCTCCAGGGAACGCCCAGCACATAAAGCACTGTGTATCACATCTGGGGTGCTGGGGTCAGGTGGGAAAGGGCTGGGGACAGGGGTGCTGGGCAGGGCGGGTTAGGTACCATTCTCGGCGGCTCTCTTGAGGTTCTCGATCATGGTGTCGTAGTGGATGCGGCACAGCACCTTTTCCTCAACCAGGCCGAACTCCTCGCCGGTGGAGAGCTGGCGCTTGCAGGAGAAGCAGGCGAAGCAGGCCAGGTGGTAGGCGTTGCCGCGCGCCCTGCGCACCCAGTCGCTGGCGTAGATCTGTCGGCCACACCGGGCGCACTTGGTCCCAAATCGGCTGCAGGACAAGGTGACAGGGACTAGACTCAGACAGGCCATCTCTCCCCCACCCCAATACCCCCAGTGGCGGCACCCTGGCTCCTGGCCTCAGGGCCTTGACTCAGCAAATACCTGTTGCTTGGATACACTATCTACCCTCACCCCCAGCCAAGTCCCACCGAGAGGATGAGCTGGAGGATGATTTTTAGTTTCTTCTTGGTCCTTTTCTGAGTTTTCCAAATTTTCTACGCTGATCACTTACATATGTATATTAGTTTGTTAATTAAAATTACAGCGTAATTGTGAGGAAAACATGATAGCAATAATAACAGGCAAATTTGTGAGCACTGTACTCAGCAAGATTCTGTTTTACAGTTATTATCCCAAATAATTCTTCTTACAAGAAGTAAACTAAACTGCACAAGGTCACACAGCTCACAAAGTTAGGAACCCCAGCCATGCCAATGCCAGAGATGAATAAACTATAGTCCCAGCCATACAGAAGCTCAAAAGTTCTTGGAAGAGGAAACAGATATGCACTTAACTGGCTTTGTGACCCTGAGCAAATTATTTAACTCCTCTGAGTTCTCCTTTTCCCTGCTCTGCACTGAACTAGATGACCACAGCAGACAGCAATGACGACTGCTATTTGCTTAGTGTCCTGCAGTCTACAAAGAAACCAGCCTTCCTTTAATCTGCCTCTTCTCCTTCTTTCTCCCCATTTTGTCCTGGGATATGTGTGTGCAGCTGTCTCCATCACCAGAGCYCCTCCCGGAAGTTGCAGAGCCTGGTTCCCTCAGCACCAGAAGTCATACCGCGGGGTACCAGGGAAGGTTTGTTCTTTAAGTGCATGACTCCCTTGTGACTGTGCCCAACCCTCTCAGCCTCAGTTACCTCTGTATGCTCTGAGTTCAGGGAATGGTACCACAACTCAAACCACCTCTGGAGTGTGGAAATGTAAATCACACACTTCTCCCTCTTCAAACCCCACATCCAGCCAATCCTCAGGCTCCGTGGTTCTGTTTCCCAAATATCTCTGGGATCCATCTCCTCCTCTCCCCCTCCACTGCCACCCTTCCTCCTAGGCCAGGTTTCCATCAGGCACCCCTCACTGCCAGTTTCCACCCTGGTCTCTTGGTTTCCAGCCTCGCCCTGCCAGTGCATCCTCCACACACAGTCACAGCCAAATTTCCAGCAGGCACATGGAATCTCGTCCCTACCCTGCTTACAATCAATTGGTGGCTCCCCTTCACCCTCAGAATCTGGTTCAAGATGTTTTTGAGTTTACAAAACCTAACAGACCACATCCTCTTCAGGCCCACCTCCTTCTAAACCTTCTTCAGAGTCTCCCACTGCAAATCCAAGCATGAGTCCCAGTCAGCCACAGGGGAAGGTTAGTTCAAGATCTTTAAGAGGTACTTTCTCTGAAGCACTTTCCCACCCCCAGGACTTCGCACAGGCTGTTCCTTTCCTGACCATATCCTACCCCCCACCACACACACATCCCCACACATCCCCACAATCGTACCACCCTCTTAGCTTTGATCACACTGGTTTGTAAACATCTGGTTCCTTGGCTCTTCCCATGCACTCCTGGGATTCCTGGAGGGAAGGGGAAGATGTAGAAGATTTGCCTCTATGCTCCCAGGGATCATTAGGACAGCCTCTGTGTGACTGAGGGAAACAGTCCAGCAAAAAAACGCTCTGGTTCCAACCTTGCCTGCCTTGGCAAATCATGCAATTGAGTTTTACTGAATGAGGGAGTGCAATGGCTTCCATCAGCTCCAGCTCCCAGGCTCCCCGAAGAAGAGTAAGGGGACCATAGGTTCGCTAGGGCCATGCTGAGTGCCTTTGCCGGGTCCTCTACCTACCCCAAGCAAAAACCGCTCTTGACCTCAGAAACGCGACTTCCCCAGGGAAGAGCCCGGCACAGCAAACGATCTTTGTTTCTATTGCCGAAAGAAAGGGGAGATGAACCGGCTTTGCCCAACCCAGCTTATCCCTTTGGTGGGGCAATCCCTATTCAGTCATCGACTGGTGGTATCTGGATTGTGAGCACTTTCTGGCCTTTGGGCAATGCGGCTTTCCAATATTTCTGCTGGGGGGAAATCGGGCATCCAGCTGTGCACAGAACCCTTACTTCAGATCGGGTCCTGGGGCGCAACGTCTTCTTTGCACCCCCTCAGCTTTGTCAAAACCTGGTGAGATAACAACTCTGGCACCCATATTCTACACGTGGAATAGGAGGTTCAGAGACGGCAAGTGACTTACTGGGGACCACAAAGTGTGGGGCCAGGGTCGAGAGGGCCCCTCCGAGATGCAAGAAAGACCTAGAACCTGCTGAGCAGACTGACTGGAGACAAGAAACCTGAGGTTCCAGAAGGATGAACAAGAAGGGGTCCTGGTTTGACCGCATCGTCATATTCCCACTCCTGGCAGCATGCTGGACCAGGAGACCAGCTATCTCCAGAAAGCGGAAAGTGCGACCTCAGGGTGGGGACCGCCAGAGTAAGGAAAGCGGGAAGCCTTCAGAGGCTGGGCAAAAGCGATGGCGTCTTCCGCTGGTGGAGAGATCCTGCGCGCTGCCTCATATGCAYCAGACTGTGCGGTCCGGATCCTCCTGTCCTGTCCGGCTGGGTGGACTTAATTGTTCTGGGTCAGGGAGGCGTCTGAGTCTCACCTCGCACCCCTGGACTTTCTGCCCTGAGAGTTCCGGATGTCCGAGTCTGTTATCCGTCCACACTCGTAGGTCACAGTGGCCCCAGCCCCCTTGTTTCAAAGCGGGCGCCTAGAGTGGCCTATCAGCTTTCCTACCCTCCAAGTATCACCCTAAATGCCAGGAGCTGTTCCCAGCCCTAGGATCTCCCTGCATTCCCTGTGACACGTCCCAGTCAACGAAATCATCCTTGCACCGGATCCTTGGAATAGGGATGGGGGGGTGTCATTGTATAGGTTTGGATGCGTTAGGGCCCTTCCTGCAGTGTGTCCCCCACCCAGGACAGGGATCAGCGGCACAAACAAAGGGCACGAGGAGGCTTACGGATCGAGGCTCTGATAAACCGACAGACTCCTTCTCAGGCGGGCTGCGGGGCTCGAGCCGCCGGATTCCGGAAGCAGCGAAATCGGCGGTGGAGACAACGAAACTTCAAGAAAGGGGTGTTCGCGAGCTGTGAAGGGAGCGCCAAAGGGATTAGGGGGCGCGCCTACAGCCACCCAGCCTTGCTGCAAGGTCTGGGCCATGCGCGCCCCTCCCTGGGTCCCAGTGCGCCAGAGTCAAAGACGCAAAGCACAGAAGCGCTTTGGGGATGGAGAGGTGTCCGACAGATGCTGCACATCCTAGCAAATGCTGAAAGGAGTAGCATAAGCATCGCACAAGGTCAAGCCCTCTATCCCCTGCATGGAGAGTAGAAAGATCTGGATATTCTTGGTGCTGAGCGAGAGCTGTGTGTCCTTGACAAAATCAGGCTTGCTTTCCAGGTTTACTTTCCCTGGATACCTAGTTGATGCTTTGTGATCACCTGCTGGATGAATGAAGCTCTATGAATGAGCGCTTTGGAGTTTTGCTCCGATCTCTTCCCCCATTTTTTTTCCTCCATGAGGAAATCGAAGTGGAGCGCTAATGTTAGGCAGCTAGGAAGCCAAGGTGATGGAACTCCAACCTGAGTTCATGTATTTTGAGTTCAAGATGCTCACTAGATGGATAGCCTTCAAGAGACTCTTTGAGGGGAACAAGGAGAGTTGAAATGAAGCCCTTTCCATTCCCTCTGCTCCTTCCCTTCTAGGCAAACCCTTAGGAGAAGTCAGAAAAAACAAAACCAGCAATTAAAAGGTTAAAACGACCAGTTCCTTGGAGGTCCCGTCCTGAGGCCCCTCCCCCCAAATCCCCCCGCAGTTCCCCCAACATCTGTCCCCTAACAGCTGGCAGCCGCTGTGCTGCTCTCCATAGTGGGGGGCCACTTTCCGGATCTTGGCTTCCCTTGGGACCCTCTCTCTGGGAGAGGGATGGAATCCACAGAGCTTGGACTCTCAAGGTGGGAGACTGGGGAAGGCTGGGGATTTGCCTTCTGTCCTGTGGCTGAACAGGGAGCAGGAACTTCAGGAGGATTTGGCACTCTAAGAACCCCGCCCTACAAACACAAGGGGAGGCAGTTAACCCTTTGTCCCCCRTTCCCATTGTCAGAAGGGAAGAGGGCCAGCCGGGATGAGCAGGCCTTGGCAAAGTTGTGCCACTTAGAGCCTCTGAGGAAGTTATCCCTGCTCTTGGGCTCCCAGAGCCACCCAGGGAGAGTCATACATTTGAGCACACATTGGGTGCTCTCTATGTAAAGTCAAACAAACTGGGCTAGAATCTTAGGACAAGTAGACAGGGATCTTTGCCATTCCACAGGCCCCACAATGTGCAAAGAGGTGGCTGACATATCTTGCCTATGGAAGAAAAATTTGGGAATGTTTAGGGGTAGACATAGTGGAGTTAGGTGGCCACAGGGCTTATCCAGGTTCTATTATTTATTATCTGCATGACCTCACCTCTCAGGGCCTCAATTTCCCCTCCTATAACATGGGGATTATGAGAACATCAAACCTCACAGATTGAACGTGGGGATTAAATGAGATAAAACAGGTAGATTGTAAGCACAGCAATGCAAAGCTTTCCCCTGGACTGCGGGTCTCTGCTCATTGGGTCCCTAATCCTCTTTTGACCTAGGCATGCATTCTGATGGCAGGTGGCCTCACTCCTGTGCTGATTGGCTTTCATGTTCTCATTCACTGTGTGACCCTGGCTATGTCACTTTCCACTCTACCAGGACATAAGTCTCCCCAGCTATACAGTAGGCATGATGCTCCAGGAGGCTGAGAGAGCCAGGAAGGCGCTGCCATCAGCCCATGCTCTACTTATGGGGCAACAGCTGCAGGTAGGTGGATGAGAGGGGGCCCTGTAAAGCTGTCCTGGATTGTGGTTGCAATGGCAATGGAAATGTGAATGCCCCCAAAAGGAATACTATTTCTCCCCAGAATTTTTTCTTTTTCACTTCTTGGGAGGAAAAAAAAAATCAGGAAAAAAATGTCTTAACAACAACCATAAAAAAATGYAAATCCTATCATATTTCTCTGCTGGTATTTTTTTTTTCCAGCTAGGACTCTCTGAGACTGAGAGGAGGTGGGAATCAGGTTGAACCCACAAGGGCTGGTGAGGTCCCTGTTTGGAGAATGAACTAGAGAAACTGAGGCACAGAGGTCCAGCAGCCGGGTCAAGAAAACACAGCCAATGGACAATCCACCTACACCCCAAATGAGCCAGGAATAGTACTGGACCTCCCTGACTCCCCTAAAGGCTCTGTGACCTCCTTCCAGAGTGAACTTGGAGTTTTTTCCTAACCTCTAACTTCTTAGCCACCAACACTGGCTCTGCCAATGGAGACTGAAGGAGGACTTACAAGATGATGTCAAAGACAGAAAGACAGGAGTTAGAATTAAGGAGAAGCCTTTKGGGGGTGGGGCAAAATCAAAGGTTAGAGAACTATGGGAACCCCAAGTGCTCTCTCCATGGGGTATCAGTCACTCTTCCTTCCCACTGTCCTTCACCCTGTTGGAAAACCTGGGTCTCTTTTTGGGCACCATGTTGCTCTAGTCCACATCCTACCGGATGGTTGAGCCCCAGCTCCAGGAAATAGAGGCTAGAAAGTCTCAGGGCACAGCACCTCCCTGAGCTTCAGTTCCTGAGAGGGAACTCTGCCTCCCACACACCTTCTCTCAGCCTTCTCCAGGAGAAGCTTCCTCACAGTAATTGGTRTTGCCCAATTCTTTCCCTTTTTGTGGGCTTTATTATTTTTGTTATAGGTGGGGCTGCCCAAGAGATCTGGGGTGGGGGAGGTGTGTGTGTGTGAAGTGATCAGAAAAGCCACAGTTTTACTCTCATCCTGGGAATGTGAGGTTTTCCCCCTTCATTTTCTTAAGTGAAAATCTGGTTTAGTTTTGCTTTGGGGGCCTCTTGTCACTGGAAAAGGATTAGTGCTCAGAACCCATAGCCCAGAAACAACCAGCTTCATCATTTCAGGCAGGTTCTGCTCCTCAAGCTGCCTGGGGAAATGCCATCATGGGCTGTGCCTGGTGGTGACAACAGTAATCAGGCATTCGTAGGCACTACCATTTAGGGGGCCTTCATGGTGGCTCCTTCAGTGGCCTACTCAGCAGCTCAGGGAGATAATCTTGAAAAAGGAGAACTCAGAGCAGAGAGATGCAGTGACTTGCCCAAGGTCACCTGGCCTGACAGGACTCAATGTCCTCCCTTTCCCCACAATGGCCGGGCACCCAACCCTCCACCCCACTGCTGTGGGACAGGGAATCAGTGGAGGCTCTGAATAATGGAATCAAGATCTTAGTTTTGACCTTCAAGGAGGCTCAGTCCAGCTTGGGCATGAACTGGGGCTGGAGAAGCAGCAAAGAAATTTGGACAAGTGGTAAGGGTGCCAGGCCTGTTGTCACTAGGAGAGCCAGGACAGGTGTCCTGTCCAGTCTCACTCTACAAAGGAGCACCTAGGCTTCTTCCTGCTGGGTTCCCCAAGCACCCTGGTAGCTGATGATTTCAAGATGCCCCCAAACAGCAGCTCCCCCACCCCACCCCACCCCCCAACTGGAGTCAGGCCTAGAACAGGGAGGTGGCTAGACAGTGACTGTACCTCCATTTCTTGCCGGAACCAAACCAAGAGTCAAATGGAACCGTGGAGGAGATATTGCACTCTGGTTACACACCACAGTAACAACCCCCTTCTGCCTAAATAAGCACACAGCAGCTGGCAGATACAAGTACACATTGACCTCACACCCTTCATCCTTCAGTTCCCCAGGTGGAGGGCCATAAGCAGGAAAGTCCCCTCAGAGGAAAATGTGGAGTTAGGGAGTGACATGGCTTCATAATTCTCTCACCAGACCTCACTCTCCTTCTTACAGATCCTGGTCCAGGTGTGACCCTGTACTGTCCACCTTGTGCATATGCTTGAACTAAAGACAAATGTTTCTCTATAAAAAGGAACACACACATTGTGCACACACTCCTCTCCTGACCTTGCTGACAACACATTCCCCAGTACCACTGCACAGATCCYAGACAATACACACCTACTAGAGCATCCCTATCCCCTAGACAAAACACGTTGACTGCATGCTCTTCTATACCCATCACAAAAAGAGTCTTTTAAACCATGCTTCTCAAGGCTTTCCCAGCTCTAAATGCTGCCTACTTCCTCCCTAGACTCAAGGTCTTCTCATTCCAGGTCCCTGGAGGCTCAATTTTGGTCGAGGCATTACCATCCACCAAATTCCCTACCCTCAGAGACTTTCTGGGGCTGGGGTCTTTTCAAGGAAGTCTGAAATTGTGACCTCTCCGGAGGCGGGGAAGGATGTATGTGGGTTGGGAGGGGGTGGTGATAGAGGGGAACASTTTTCTCCACTTCCTGAGAAAGCACTTTGGGAGGCGATCCTCCCAGGAACCACACCCGGCCACCACAGAACCAGGCCTGGTTCATACGACCCCCACCCACCCTCGAGATCCTGCAGACAGTCGCAGCGCCCCTGACACTTCAGTGACCTCGACCCCGTGACTGGGTCAGGCCAGACTACGCCGGTAGCAGTGAGGCGCGCATTTGCGACTGAAACACAGCGGCGCGGCGGAAGGATGCAACTGGCGGAGATCTTGAGCTGCGGGGACCAGCGCGGCACTGCTTGGCGGAGAGAGTGGCCCAGGTATCTACTCAGCTGTCTGGGCTGCGGCGCCCATTCGCGTCTCCATTCGCGTCCCAGCAGCCCAAAGCCTGAGCCTATAACCAGTAAAGACTGAATCTGAGGCCGGAAACTATACCGGAGCTGGGACTGGAACTGGCTCCTGGGACACCGGCAAGACCCCATACTCGAATTGCGAACACTCGAGCGACCTGGGCTTGAGTTGAGGCCAGAGGCCAAGGTTGGGGTTTAGACGAGGCACTTGGATATGGGTCAGGATGTGAGATGAATGCGGCGCTASTGCTTGGGGCCAGATCAGCTCTGAACCCAATTCAGAGCCCCGGGCAGAGTCAAAGGCCCTCCCAGGACGGGCCTCCGCACAACTGGAGTCCCAGTAAGGTTGGAACCAGGGCCGGAGCTCGCTGGGGATGCAGTCGGCTGACTGCCGGGATCCCAGCGGGTTGGAGCCAGAGCCGCGGATGTCAGAGCTCGACTGCGGCGCCCGAGGTCCGAACTAGAACCTGAGACTCAGGCAAGACCCAAGACGGAGCCAGAGGTGCGACCAAAGCCCAGCGGAGCGCCGGAACCGGGAGCAGACGCCGACCGGAACCTGTGCGAGTAGTGGCGCGTGGCCTGGAGCTTTGGCTTCGCCGTGCTGAAAGCCGGCAGGCGGGACCAGTGCGGCGCGCCGGGAAGGCACTCGGGACTYCAGGGCTCCGGAGTTGAAAACCACACGCCGCAAAAGTGGCCCTGCATATGCGCCCGGGGCTTGCCTGAGGACACACTGCAGACCCGGCAGCCGCAGCCTACCTGAAGTAGTCCATCTTGCAGAAAATTTCCTTGTTCTTGATGTAGCAGCTGTTCTGCTGCCTCAGCGACGTGCGACAAACGGAGCACTCGAGGCACCGCACGTGCCAGATGAGGTTGTTGACCTGGGGAGGGGGCGGGGATGGGGGTCGATTCAGCGCGGGCCTCTTTTCATGCCCGGCCCCAGCCTCCCCAGTTCTCATTTGCAGGCACAAACGCTGAAGCTCAGAAGGCGCATGTGACTCCCCCCTTTTTCTTCGGTAACACGGAGCCTCAAGGAAATGGAAATACACTCTTCCCACTTTTCAGACGGAACCCGGGACGCAGAAAGGCCCTAAGACTTGCCCAAAGCTGCGCAGTAGGGCAGTGACTGAGCCAGGATTCGGAATTCAGTGGACCTGGCCCCGGCACAGCTTTCCTACAGTTCTCTGGGCTGCAACCCACACCCGCCAACAAACACACAACACCTCCCCTGGCTCACCTTGAGCAGATACCGGTCCAGGATCTCCAGGCCGCAGCTGGAGCAGATGTTCTTGCCCGCGGACGGCACGGAGGAGGCGGCAGAGGGCGGCGAGCAGACAGACGGGGTGCTAGGCGTACACGGGGAGGCCCGACCCTCTTCCTTGTCCARAGAGCCTGCCAGAGCCTCGGCGTCTGACTGAGCCTGCAGCAGGGGAGAAAGGGCAGAGCTCGAGCCGGGCACCCAGAATTGACCCTGCCTTGGGCGACAAATCTGAACCCTTTGCGCATCAACTGACAACGAAATCTGCCTAGTGTGCCGCGCTGTAGGCAGGAGGACAGGAATGAAAGGGCCTATTGGAGAGGAAGGGACGGCCCCAACTTTTAACACGCGCATCTTGGGTGCGGGAAGCKGCCAGAGCCCACATTCCTGGCCAGAAAATCAAGGCTCAGAGAGGGGCGGCGCCGGTCGGGAATCCCCCAGCSCTTGAGCAGCGGTTAGTTGCCGGAAAGCCGGGCCAGGTGCCCAGGCCTGGGCTGCTGGGGGACCGAGGGCCGAGGCAGAGCCGAACGGACTCACCATGGCAGGCGGCGCGGTCCCTTCAAGACAGCGGGTGGTCGCTTTGCAGCCGGACCCTGGCTGGGCCATCACCTGGGGGAGGGGGGAGGGAATGCAGGCGGCGGCGGCTGCAGAACTGGCTCGGTGCAGCCTGAGCCCAGCGCCTCCCCGCGCCTGTTATATAAACCGGCGCCGAACAATGAGTCCTAACTTTGTAGTGGGCATTTAAAGCCCTTCCCCACAAAAGCGGTGTCTCTCTAATGAAGCAATTTGAATTTGGATTGGATTTTTTCCCTCTCTCTCCCCCTCTCCCTGCACTTAACCCGTGGCTCTTGAAGTAATCGCTTAGTTCCCTTGCAATCCAAGCCTCTGAGGGGGRAAAAAAAACACGCGCACACACACAAACTACCTGCAATTAGAAATTGTCGTGAATGCCCAAGATAAGAGGTAGCCAGAGTGTCAATTCCAACTGTCAATCAGTGAGATCCATCAGGCCGCCCAAAGAATTGCAAATTTGATTTTTTAATGGTAGTAATTAAAAATCGAATTTTTTCTCTCTCCACCCACCCCCCTTCCTCGCTCCCTTCTCCTCCTCCTCGGCACAAAATGCAAAAAGGAGAAAAGAGAGAAAGAAAGAAAATAAAAAGGAGATGGGGGTGGTGGTGGTGCTGGTGGTTGAGGAAAATAAAACCCCGAGCGCCGGGAGCATCCGCCTGCCCGCCGGCCCGACACGCGCCGAGAAATTGAAGAGGCGATATTGACCCGAATTCAGGCGCCTTTCGAGGGCCAGTCCAAGGGAAATCCGGAGCAAAAGGGGGCAAGATCGGGGTGGAAATGAGACCAAAAAGGGAAAAGAGAGGGGTCCAAGAAGAGGAAAAAAAAAATCACCCTCCAGCCTTTCGGCGCGCCCGGGACCGGCCCGGAGTCGGGATTCTCAGTGTTGCTCCCGCACAGCCCCCGGCGCATCGGCGCTATCAGCGCCTATTCAGACGGACAATACCGGCCTCGCCTCCTCTTGATTCGCCTGTGTCTTTGCTAAATCGCTTTTTGAGAAATTCCTCCAACATTTGCATAATGTGTTCCCGCTTTCCGCGACCCCCCCCCCCAGCGCTCGCGCGCGCTCACACACTCACAAACACACACTCCCGGGAGCACCCTCGCACCCCTCCTCCCCGCCGCCGCCCGCTTCCCGGCCCGGGTAGGCTGGGTCCCGGCCCCTGCCGGTTCCTGGCCCGGGCCGCTCGCTCGCTCGCTCACCTGGTCGGTGGCGGGGCCGCCCTCCGCCGGCAGCCGGCAGCCCTCGGGCAGCGCCGGGGCAGCGTTCTCATGCTTCCAGTACATGGGCCCTGGAGCGGCGGGCTCAGTCGGCGTGCAGCTCCGAGAGCCGCGCAGAGGGGGGGCCCGTCCGCAGTGGGAGCAGAGGCTGCAGCAGGAACAGGAGAGCCCAGGCGGCGGCCCCGCGGCCCCGGGCCCGGCCCCAGCCCCCACCCCCGGCCCGCGCTCAGCCCTGGCCTCCCTGGCTGCCGGCGCCGCCGCCTCAGAAGAAGGTCCCGACAAACTTGGAGAGGCCCCCGCCCCCTCCTTCTCCTCCTCCTCCTCCCCCTCCTGGTAGTCCTCCTCCTCCTCCTCTCCCTCCTCCTCGTCCTCCTCCCCCTCCAGCTGCGGCGGCGGCCGCCCTGCCGCTGGAGCCCGGCTCGGTTCAAGATGAGTCATGCGTGACCAATCCCCTCCCCGCCAAGGAAGAGCGAGACACACACAACGAGGCAGAGTCCCGGAGACATACGCTCACAAACACAGAGTCACACAGAAACTCAGAGCTGCTGATACACTCAGAGACACGCTTACATACAAAGACAGTGGCGGGCACACATCTACACAGCTCTCACTACTGCCCCTCCCTCAAGGGGCACCCACCGCCCTCAGGCACAGCCCCATTCATGACCAGAGGGTCATGCCATCTGCAGAGATGGACTCTATAAGAAGCCACACGTTATACTCTGCTGATGCACTGCTGTGCCTGGTACATTTGTGTACATACAGATGCAAATTATTACCTGCTTGCATCATTTAATGGGGCAATAGGCATCCACCCATACTTCACATGCCTGCACAGATACCTCTACTTCATAACAACCAGGGAGCACACCTGCTCATAAGCACTGACTGGGATTGGGAAGGGACTTTAGTGGCAAGGGAGAGTAGTTCCCTTGAATTCTTTGGGGAGGGATTGCTTGGAATATCCCTCTTCCTTTTAGGATTTATTTAGTTACACAGTCCAGTGCCCATCTCACCATCTCTAGGGTTCTACTGATAATGAGAGAAGTAGGGAAGGCAGAGAAGCATGTAGCTAAGAGACAGCCCCCAATTGCACAGACAAAACTCTCAAACTCAAAGACAGCCTTACCCATACTAACATCCTACAGCATTCAGATACATATGGACACTTACAGCCTCAGCCCCATCTCCACACACCAACTAAGCTTACAGACACATACACAAACATATGTCCTCTTGTAAAAACAAACACACACTCAGGCTTAGATCCAGCACTCTGGTCATGACAGCCCACTAGCACCGTGTCACACACATACTGTCACCTCAGTAATTGCCCTTATTTATAGATGTAAACACCTCACATACACAATTGTCATTACATTTGTATACCCATCCATTCTCAAAAGAGCAGCCGTTCACAGAGCTTCAATTCCTGTATCATCTCAGACATCCCCAAATACACACACATCCTCACAGATGGTGAGATAACCATTTATAGGCAGAAATGGCACACACACCTCTCCAGGCATGGGGTTCCCAATAGGCAGTCAGTCTGCACATGCAGAGGCACTTCCTGACAGATGCAGGCAGACAAGGATGTCTACACCAACACAACGCTAAAGACCCATGCCTATGTCCCCTAAAGACAAAATATCTGTTCCTATGCACAGAAACTACTTCAGCCCCTGCATTCCAGTTATTTATTGCTCTCAGACATAGATTTTCAGAGAGCAAAGTGTTTCTCTCTGAACCATTATCTTTTATGAGAACAGATTACAACATGGAAATAGGTGAAGTGTGTGCATATGTACACAATGTATATGTGTACACATGCACCCTCCAACATGATTACGGATGAGCAATCCCCTCCTCTTCAAATAACTCTTTTACACACAATACTCTTAGCTACCATTCCTGGATACTTTCATCTGTGCCAGGCATTCCAATATTTAGCATTTTACAATTGTGATCTTGTTTTCTTTTCCCAATAACCGTGTGAGGCACCTAGTCTTATGGTGCCCATTTTACTGACGAAGAAACTGAGGTTCAGAGAGGTGGTATTTGCAAACTGGAGCCACAGTGGTTGATAACTATCAGAGCCAAGAAATCAAAACCAGACTTGTCTGATATCAGAGCTCATACTCTTGATTTCTAGGCTGCACACAGGACCATGTCCGCTCTGCATGCATAAACATGCACACAAACACACACGCACACATTAGCTTTCCGTATTCTCTCAAGGAGCATGGACATGACTCCAGGCTTATCATTCATGAGCTAAGCCTCTTTTCTCATTTGCAAAATGGGAATAATAATAGGACCTTCTGTATCTCCTCCCCATTCACTCTGGTCGGCCAGGGGAATTGGAAAGACAATGAATCTTATACAATGCTGTACCCATGTGAGTGCAGAAGAGCTCAGGAAAGAAGAAGACATCTACAAAGGTTGTACTGGATTTGCAGAACTTCACAGGGACAAAAAAGGCTTAAGATGAAACTAAAGGGCAGGTGAAATTTGGATAGGTTCAGGGGACAGAAGAAAATATTCCAGGTAGAGAGATGAGTGCAAAGGTTGAGGCTGAATGAACAAGGTGTTGCCCTCCTATGAAGAGGAAGGGAAGCATGTATTCCCTGAGTGATAATAATTAATAATAATAATAATAATAATAATAATAACAACACAAACATAATTGATTAAGCATTTTGATGCCAAACACTATTTTATATACATTATTCACTGTAATTCTCACATCCAAACCTTTGAAGAGGTTATAGTGATAGTTGAAGAAACATGCTTATAGAAGCTCCCATTTCAACTTCTGGTACTCAGACTCTAAACCCAAACTCTTACCTATTATGCAATTCTGCATCTGAATCCTGATTAAGTGCTTAGGAACTCAAAAGGGGAGTAAGAGGCACTAAACTCAGAGGTGCAGCACAAAGATTCTGAGAGCAGACTGGGAACGAGTCCTGTTACTTCCCTTTATTACTCTGGACAAGTTATTCAGTCACTTGTTCAGTTTGTTTTCTCACCTGTGGGAGTGGTGTTGAGAAAGACTCCAGCTCCTATCTAACTGTGAAAATCGAACAAATGATCCTTTTACAAGGTCTCAGGACTCTACCTGGACCACAGTAAATAACCCCCCCAAAATTAGCCATCCTTACATCATAGATTGGCTGTATTTTCTAGTTGTCATTCTACTGAATGCCACCTCAAATTCTTATGGAGAAAGACATAAGTCCACCAAATAATAAAACATTCTCCTAAATAATTTACTTAATGAAGCTGCATATCCATTATTCCAGCCCAGGGCCTGTCTGACTTCAAAAAGCACAGAAGTGAAATCACTTTGAGAACAAGAAATCTCTCTTCCAACAACCACTACAAAGAAAGTATCCAGACAGGAGTGACCTTGGCAAAATTGGGATTAGCAACTTTAGTATGTCCCATCAGGATACTCAATTTCTTCCTGCAGGCGACTGGGGCAGGTCACCCTGCTTCTCTAAGCCTTGGTTTCCTTCCTTGCATTTTTGGGGATAACAATGCATCTCAGGGTTGAGGTGACAGCCAACCTTACATTAAAACTAATATTTTGTTTCAAAAAGTATCGACTCCCTCCTGGAGCTGTATTTAGCATTCAACATATACAATGTCATTTAGTTCTCACTTCAATTCTTCTCTTGGTCACTTGACAGGATGTGGTCATCTTGTCCTTTGGGATGGATTTTACTGTCCTCCCCCACCTGAGTTTCCATTAAGGTTGGGGTTTGAAAAAAAAAAAGGCTTCATTAGTAACTGGATAATTCTGTAGGAGGCCCCCAGCAGTGGTTCCACCCGCCGGGGAGTAATTCTAGGAAGGTAATGTGAGCTGGGAGAGGCTGGAGACCTGGCTTCACATTTATTTACTCTGACAGCTAAATTGGTGAGCAAGGGGGAAAATCAGATGAAAGCCATTTCAGAGTAAATACTAAATACAAAATTTAAACATTTGGGTTGTGACAAATGGGGAGGGAGCAAATGGGAAGAGACACAGGCTGCTCCTTTCTCCCTAGTCTAAGACCCTACTTTGTCACCTTCCTGGGCATTTCCTGTGTGAGGAAAGAGCACAGAATGGGGTATGAATTGTGTGAGCCTAGGCCAGAAATGTACTTCTCTTGGCCACAGTGTCCTTCCCTGGTAGTAAAATTTGTGTGTCATTTGAATCAGATGATCTGGGAAGTGTTGGGCCTGAGAAAGACCCAAGGTCACTTCCTGGCTGGATGAACTTGGAAAAGTCACTTAACTTTATCTGAATCTCAGTTTCTTCAACTTTGGGGACAATATCGACCTTGGAGGAGTAAATAAGATAATTAGGTGAAAGGGCTTTTCCGACCTTAAAGCATATTGCAAATGTATAGTTATGGTCACATCAAGTCCCCTTCCAGTTTGGATGTCCACTGAGTAAATTCAGGTCAGCAGGCATTTATGAAGTGCTTATTCCAGGTTCCGTGTTAGAGGAAACTGTCCTGGTCTCTGCCCAATTAGGAGCCCACAGTTATTGAGAGAAAAGAGCTAGCCACGCAGTGTGGCATGACAGGGGCTACGAGGGTGCTATGGAAGCAAGGAGAAGTGACATTTAACCTGGCTCACAGGTGGGGGTACCAGGAAAGGCATCCTAGAGGAGGCGACCTCTCAGAGAAGTCCTGGAGGATGAGTTAGGCAAGGCAGGAAGAAAGTGAGGGGGACTGGATGGGGGTGAAGAGTGGTCCCAGTTAGTGCTTGCTAGAGCAGTGCTGGGCTGGGGAGGGTCAGAGTGTCGAGGAGTTCGGGTTTATCTTGAGAGGTTGGCAGTCCACAAGAGGTGACATCCTCTCTCTATAAATGCAGCAAGCACGGTGTTAAGGATCCTAGCAGCCTGAATTGATAGGACTCTGTTACACATTGTGGGCTCTAAGGCAAGTGACAAACTCTAGGCGCCTTAGTTTCCTTGCCATAAAGTGGGCATTAACACAGAACTCACTTACAAGGGCTGGGAGGATTCCCCAAGGCCAAGGTACTCACCTTCAAGTTAAGAGCTTGACACTGGCCCAGTAATCAGTAGTTACTTAGTCACCCAGAGTCATTGTCCTCACTTAAGAAGGGGACATAATGGG